GGTTGGTATATAAACCCCGTATGTTTGAAATAAATGATTCATATCGCAGAGGCTCGGATTCGGTGTTCCGGACTTAACAGGCTGGGCTAGGCGGCAAGCGGGACAGATAAGTACTCTGGACTGCTCGTACTTGTTTTATGCGTCATTGGTCCGGTCGATAATTCACTGTTCTTTAGTTCTCAGTATCATTACGTTATACATTAACAGGACAGGACATAAGTTATAACAATATCCAGGAGTAAGTTTATATGGAAGTTAGCACTTATTGTCATGAAATATCTCAAACACCCTAAAGAAAGTGACATTTTCTCTTTGATATCCCTCAATTATCCAGTACCAAACGAATGACATCATGATGTTGGTACTGACTCGAAGAAAATCTAATAGAATTCATAACTAAACATGGAGTTGAATCCTATGGGAATATCATTACTTTAAAATGCTCCATTATTAAGTACCTAACAATAAGTAACTTAACCTCATTGCATTCTTGTTGATCATGAATTGCCACGTAGATAAGTTTAAAACATCTAAGTTCTTACTGATTTCAAAGTGTGTGTGTGTGTGGTATCATTAAAAAAATTGGGTGTACTTTTCCACACTGTTTATAAATAACTTTAATGATCAACCCAAATTATTTTTAAATAGTTAAAATCATGAGTCAATTGAAGCTAGAGCACTATGGAAAACCTGGAAGTACTGGACAGCCGTTTCATCCTATTGTAGGACTCTTCAGCAGTGTGTATCCATGATCCCACCACATGAGATTCGAACGTAGGACCTATCGATCTCGCTCGTGAACGCTTAACCTACTGGACCACTGAGCTGGCAACAAATAGTGTTAATGTCTAACCTCAACCAATCCACGAAATTGTGAGACCACCATCCATTGTACTGAGGTAGATACCTGTCTCTATTCGACACGGATTACCTCCACTGATTTGCTTTGAATTTATATATATGCCCTTATGAATAAGTGTATTACGAAAGGTTCAGAGAGAGAGAGAGACATTGACAGAGGGGGTTAATTAAGTGGAGAAATCTTTTTTTGACTATATCGTTTAATTAATCTGTACAATCTTATTTATGGTGATCTAATTAGTAAGTCTATAGTATAATAAGAAAAAATTACTACGTACTTCCAATCTTTATCGTATCCCAACCATAAATTAACTATGAATAACTGTAACTAGAGATGATGTTTAGTGAATATTTAAACTTTTCAGACTTTTGTCATATAAGATAATTAGATTGATATCATGATTAGTCAAGTCACTACTCTTACTCAGATGATTTATTTCATAGTGAGTCTATCAATCTAATGATTTTAATGAATCTGTCTGCTTGATTTTGTTGTAATAAACTAAACAAATAGGAAAGACAATGGTCTAGAAGTTAAGTATTCACCCACGAGACCGAAGGTCCTGGATTCAAATCCCGCAAGCAGGATTGTATACGCGCACTGCTGAGGATTCTCTTGACGGACGTCCAGCTCTTCCTGGTTTTCAATGGTGGTCTAACATTCATCGATTCATGATCTCAATCAAAATAATAATAATAAATGTGACAATAACTGAAGCTTGAACACAAAATCTAAAGGCTATTTAATTTAAAGACTCTCTCAAAAGTGATTGATCAGTACCACTGTAGTGAACGAAAACACGAGTAGGGACATTCCAATGTAATCGAAGATAAAATTACAGAACTTCTTAGTAAAAAAAACCTGAGAATCATAGAGTAAATTCTTCATTTGCAAAATGTTCATTTATTGTTTCGAACTTCATTGTTTCTCTATTTCCACACCAAATGCTCTCCGTTCCCGTTCTTTTTTCATCGATTTTCTCAACCTTCTGCTGCTAGACTTTTTATTCCTGTATAGCGATATACACTACTTATATCGACATAAGTAGCACACGCCACACCAATTATTCAATGACAAACTAACCTTAATCTAACTCTTTATTCATCACTACAGCTACCATTACAAACCAAGTTGTAAGGTTGAATGTATTCGAAACTTAATCATTTAATTTTCTAAATACAATATCGATTACTTTTCTGGTTATGTAACACTCTCTAATGGCATTAATTTCAAAAACATCATCAGATCACAGTAGTTTCATCAATCAACCCAACAAACATAACATCATCGAAACCCAGTTATCTGAGCAACAAATCTCTTCGATCACTTGAAAATCTTACCAATATAAATCCATTTTTCTGAATAGAAGTTACTATCTAATCCCTATAAGTTATTGACATTTTATCGCCCTTGAACAAACCAATGAAACAACAACTATTAACAGTATGGGGTTTGGAAGATTGTTAAGTTTTTGATTGAGGTCAGGATGTGATTGACGTTAGACCACCATTGAAAACCTGGAAGCACTGGATGGTTAATAACCGCGTTCACACTCAGTACTGAAGGCTTTGGGTTCGATTCCCGCGAGCGGGGTCGTGAATACGCATTGCTGAGGAGTCCCACAATAAAACAGAACGGTCATCCACTTCTTCCAAGTTTTCAATGGTGATCTAACATTAATCGATTCATGATCTCAATTAGTATGGGACTCATCAGCAGTGCGCATTCACGATACCGCACCCCGTGAGATGCGAACACAGAACCTATCAGTCTCGCGCCAGGCGCTTAACCAACTAGACCACTGAGCAGACATCCGGTCTAGTTAATTAAGCGCCTGGCGCGAGTCTGATAGGTCCTGTGTTCGCATCTCACGGGTTGCGGTATCGTGAATGCGCACTGCTGAGGAGTCTCGCAATAGGACGGAACGACCTTCTAATGCTTTCAGATTTTTTCCATAGTTGTCTAGCTTCAATTGGCTGATGATTTCAACCAGTGAAATATCTAAAATCTCCACAGAACCCCTTTTTGATAACAATCAATATTTCCTTCATATCATCTCACTAAGAGAGAAAGAATGTTGTATTTGTGAAATCTCAGCGAAACAATTTGAAGTAAATCCAACATTTTGGCTAACAATCTAGTCTAAAACTTTTTCAAGGATCAAATCAATTCACAGCCTCCAAAATATTCAATCAAAATTTAGACGAAACTTCTTATTTATCATAAATCCAACTGTTTTTAAATTGTAACTATGATAGTGAAACAAACAAACAAACAATCAAATAAACAAACAAACACACACACACACGCACACTGACTTTCCACAATTCAATTGTTTATGGTATCATAATACTCTATTGGTTTAATAGTTTTAGGAATTGATGGACAGATTGTAAAACGTAACAATGAAATTGTGAATGTCCCAATTGACTGATGAATGATAAATTTCATTTTTATTCAACAAGAAGAATGTTGATATAAATGAGTTTTTCTTCATTCTTTCTTTCTTTCTCTTTTGCCAAGAAGAAATTAATTGATATCTATTGTCAGTTTCAGTATAGGTAAATCATGAATGAATGAATGAACGAATGAATGAAGTAACAATCAGGTACACAGAGAGAGAGTGTATGTGTGTAATTGAGTGACTGAGTGATAATTAATACCTGTTATCGTAGTGGAAAACCAAAGAACCAGAAATATTTTCTGATGGATATCGTCATAACTATTAAATAATACAATGATGTCATCCTTTATTTCTCCTGTGTATGTGGGCGGGAGGGGGTTGTCTCCATTAAAAGTTAGTTCATTTATGGCATTCAACTAATTGGATTATTGAGAAATCAAGATTTTTTCTTTATCTGTTCATGTATATGAACAGATGCATATTTCTCTGTATTGATAATGTCTAGTAACAGTATAATAAAATTATACGTGAAGATGACTACATTCATCATGTACACTAAAAGATCGTTTATATGTTTGTACTATTGTTATCAATACTACTAGTACTACTACTGCTGTCGTGAACAAGAACACAGATGGAGACTACTATTCTTAATTTAACATAAAATTACTGAGTTCATTGGTAATATAAGAAAATTATACATTCAATATTTCATTTAGAAATCCTCCATAACAAGTACTCTTTGTTCTCATTCTCTTTAATTCAACCTTTCTGACCTTCTGTTTTCAGGCATTCCAACTTTGATTAGTGTTATATACTACATTTACAACTGCAAAATATCTAAAATTCAAAACAACTGTACACAAGCCAACACTAAGGTGAGAATTTTCAATATAAATGTATTGGGCGGGAACCTGGAGAACTACGAAAGCCATCATCTAGAAGATACAACTGTTTATTTACAGTTTTCCATACAAAATACTTCGGATCCGTTGGTCGGACACTATCAGCAACAACCTACTGTGGGACAAACCAGAACAAACCAGATTACAGTGGAGAAGGAAATTAAGAAGAAGTACTGGAAGTGGATAGGACACATATTGAGGAAAGCACTCAACTGTGTCACAAGGCAAGCCGTCACATGGAATCCTCAAGACCAAATGAAGCGAAGAGGAAGAGCAAAGAACACATTACTTTGAGAAATGGAGACAGAACTAAAAATTGGATAGAACTAGAAAGGAAGGCAGAGTGAGACAGAGTGGGTTGAAAAATGCTGGTCGTCGGCCTATGCTCCATTGGGAGTACGTAAGTAAGTAAGTACATACTATTTATATCAGTCGACATAAGTTGAATATATATCACTCTACTATTCCTAACAATACAAATTGAAAAATACATTCATAGAAATATACATCAACAGATATAGACAAATTTGAAAAACAATAGTCGTCTACATATCTAGATTCATGTATATATATATATATACACAATTCATCTATCGACACATGTCAACTATACAAAACATAATTCAAAATGTCATAATCTACTAAATATCTTTGTCATGTCTAATCGATCTGTACATGTTTCATCATGATCATCATCGTCATAAAACGATGAATAAATTGCTTTTATGTTTGCTTTTATTGTCCTCATCTCTCCTTCTCTCTATCTCGTTCTCGCTATTTCTCCCTTCCTGAAATAATCAAAAAACACCAATTGTACGTAACTATGATATTACAATCTATTATTCCAATTATTATTATTATTATTTGCAGTAGTAGTAGTAGTAGTAGTAGTAGTAGTAGTAGTAGTAGTGGTAGTAGTAGTAGTAGTAGTAGTAGTAGTAGTGGTAGTAGTAGTGGTAGTAGTAGTAGTAGTAGTAGTAGTAGTAGTAGTAGTAGTTGTTGTTGTTGTTGTTGTTGTTGTTGTTGTTGTTGTTGTTGTATCACTAAGCATTTTACTCTGATAACTAGCTAATACAAATAATATTGATTTTTTGTTCATATTACTTGTATTGTGACATGCGCTACTCATATACACATAAGTAGTATATAACGATAGTCAAGAATAGAATGTATTTCAGTAGAAGATCGAGAAGGAAAGAATGGGAACAGAAAACAATTGATATGAAATGCAGAAACAATGAAATCTGCGACGATGAACTGAGATTTACAAAACAAAAACAGTCAAGTTTGAGACAATGGATTGATATTTTGCAAATGAAGTATTTACTGCATTGTTCTAAGAGTTTACTAACTGTCCCCACTCGTTTTCTTGTTCACTACCGTATGTGTTCAAAAATCTAGAAGTTTATCAGAATTGTGTGATATATTTGCGCAATACATTTCGAACAATCTGTTCACACCTAATAGACTTGTTAAGACATCTTTTATATGTGAATTAAAAAGACAACTAGACAGGTTAAAGGTAAGAAATAATAATAAAGTGCACAAAGACAATGTGATAACCACTCTGGATAATAAATCTGTATTACTAGGGTAGGTTAAGCGTAAGGACAAATGGTTTTTGGACGCACAAACGGGGTTTCAGTTTCTCTATAAGCAAGGCTTCAATGAACCTCAGTATATGTTCTTGAAGGCTTTTGATGTCAACCTTATAACCAGTTTGAATCAAATGTTTCACAATGGAGGATGATTGAATTAGGTAAGTAGTAAGTTGTTTACTTAAATATCTATATATGAAACATTAAGTTACACATCATCGTGGACTGACCATAGTTAGATAACCCTTAAAAAAAACCACGAATCAATGAACAACTATTTAAATTCTAATATTGAATTACCGTATAACCTCAGTTGGAAGTAAAAAAAACACAGATCTAACCGTCAGACATGGAAGTCATGAGTTCGATTACCTGATAGGATACTGAATATGCACCCAATTATTTATCCATAATGTTTTCCAAAAACAATAATAACAATTTTCTACTAATGAGAAAGAATCCATTAGTCAATATAAGTTTCAATAGTTGAAATCATGAGTTAATTAAAGCTAGACCACTATAGAAAACCTGGAAGCATTGGGCAGCCGTTTCGTCTTAGTGTGGGACTCCTCAGCAGTGCACATCCACGACCACCCCCTGCTCTCGAAATAGCCGTCCAGTGCTTCCAGGTTTTCCATTGTAGTCTAGCTTCAATTAACTTATGATCTCAACTACTGACATTGCTAAAATCTTCACAAAACCTTTTCTGACAATATAAGTTTGTTTGTTTCTTTGTTTGGTTGTTTGTTTTGCAAATTCAATATTCAATGCCAATTTACACTTAATTATCCATTACAATACAGGCATGAAAATTGGTTTTTATTTTCTATTATTCAATGGTTTATTTCGATTTTAACCAATTTTCCCAATTATAATTTCAGATTATTGATAGAAATCAGTCTTAATAATTATGCACATATACAGATGTATCTATTAGATTCTTTAAGCCTGAATTCCAATATCCATTTATCCATCCATCCATCTATCCAACCATCCGTCCATCTATCAATCAATTCAATATCACTGATCAAATTACCTACATCAGTTAGAAATCTTACAATGTCCACAAATTTATCATTCTCAGATTAATTCAATATTTATGTAAACAAAATTAAGCGGAACTTCTTCTTCTTTTCTTGCTTTTTCTTTTCTTTTTCTTTTTTTTGAAATGAAATTTTGTGCTACAGTTTGTTGTTCCAATTTTTTTATTCGTTTCTCTTTGCACAAGAAATAGAAGAAAAAGCTTATTGTAAACAACCCAAAAACCTTTCGCGCACACGCACACACACATATAAACGAACAAACAAACAAACACAAACATACACTTAGAGATGTACTGAATTTGTGTAATGATATTCCTTTTTCTAGTAAACTGTACTAATTAGCTGAACAGCTGCTTTTTTCCTCTCACACTCGCTCTCTCTCTCTCGCACTCATCCCTTTAATCGTCGATTAAATATCGAGTAAAAATATTCAGATGATAAATATTCATGAAACAAGTGAACATCGTGTTATGTTATTCATTTATCCTTCAACTATTCATCATTAATTGAATGGTTGAGATCATGAGTCAATTGAAGCTAGACCACCATGAAAAACATGGAAGCACTTAACGACTGTTTCATCCTATTGTGGGACCTCTCATTAGTGCGCATTCACAATGGTGGATGTGTCGCTCATTTTCGTGGATTAGTTGAAGTGAGACATCAACATCATCGGATGGCTATTCAGTGGTCTACTGGTTAAGCGCTTGCGCGCGCGAGAATGATAGGTCCTAAGTTCGAATATCGCAGAGGGCTGGATCGTAGATGCGCACCGGTGAGGAGTCCCATGCTAGAACGAAACGGCCGTCCATTGCTTTCAGGTTTTCCATGATGGTTTAGTTTCAATTGACTCATGATCTCAACTATTGAAATTCCTAAAATCTGCAGAAAAACTCCTTCTGATTTGAAGGAATTTGTCCGTCTTATTGATGAAAAAAAGTGTTTATGATACTAATCAGTTTTTGCAAGGTGTCACGTAATAATAAAAAATTGAATTTCAGTTCTCGTTTTGTTCATTTGTGTCATGTTTTGTTTATGGTAAAAATTAAGACAAAAAACCTCAGCATACTAACCATTCTTATGGCCACACCTAAAAATGGTACATATCCATGAAGTCACTGACTAGTGGATTGTGTAAGCCATTTTGATAGGTGTAGACTACTTGGTTGGGGACCGCGAGACGATAGCAAACGATGGTTAGAGACCCTGAATGACATGACTCAAAATCGTTTGCAATAGCTCAGGTTCATCCATACTTTGTGTTCTCCCAAATTCTAATCTTTTGAATTCATCATGTCCCTTTTCTTCTTCTCTTTTCAAATTTATTTCACTGGATTATACTCCTTAAATAACATCTTCGAACCCTAATCTTTCCGATTACTACTTATATTCTTACTACCTCTACCACTATGGGATTTGAGTCGATAACTGCATCTCTGTGCTAATGTGGTGTGACAACTCAAACTAATTTATGTACATACGAAGTTCTACGTTGTTGCTGACTGACTGACTGAACCATTCTTATGAGCGGTAGTATTAGTGTTCATATTACTAATATTAGAAGGGGTTTTATATAGATTGTAGTAATTTCAATAGTTGAGATCATGTGTCAATTGAAGCTAGATCATCATGGAAAACCTAGAAGCATATTATTAACCTATTTATAATTTATACGATCTTTAATAAGAAAACACTATCATTTATCAATGCCATCTTATAATGGAATCCAACATAAGTATTTCAACTTGTAGAATATCAGTTCATAGAAACTAATAAATGTGGTTTAAAATACCTAAATAAATAAAGTTGATTCAAATGATATAACTGAATCCATATATAAATAGGGTTCATAGACATTTAAGGTACTTGAAGCACTCTAAAAATTTGCCAGTACTGTCACTGGATAAAACTATCATCTCTATACCTTCTATCTATGATATAAATATTCAGATAAAAAGTGAAGCCCTAAAATATAAGAAGATGTTAATTGTTTACTCCTATAACATAAGTATTCATTATAAATGAATAACGAAGATACAAACAATTATAACTTGATGATACTTGAACTTGACAGAATAATGTAAATGGATGATGATATCAATCGATCACTTCAACTAGACATTTATTTAATTGGTTAATTAAGACTGTATAACCGAATTAGCCCCCGAATGCCCTGGTACGGCCGAGAGTGGGGAGAATCAACTCTCTGTCTCGAAATGCTCTCACATAGCCACATGCATACAACCATTATCAGGGAAGTCCCACTCACTACCTTCTCGTGACACTACTGTTGTTTACGAAATTGAAAGGATAAAAACGAATGTCCGGCGCTTTAACCGCGTCGGTGAACACGGTGAGTTCACTTAGGGGAGTTGGAAAACCCTGATTTCAAATCAATTGTGTAAATGGACTCCAGTATCCCAAAAGAAAAATTGGCGCATGAACCAATTGTTGGTCACCGGCTACCATGGGACTGCATCCCCGTACGATTCCACACTCCCTTGTAAATCAGACCTTTAGGTCGAAGTTTCTGCATGTGGCCCTCTAAGAGAATCACCTGTTTCGGTTTGGACACCCGGGTAGTATCACAGTCCACACACAAATCAAATGACCTAAGTGGTGCATATCTATTTGTTGCCTTCTTGAACCTATGTTCATGTGTTTAAATAAATAGGCAGATTATGAAATAGTATTTTTCGGTGTTGTAACAAATCTCTCGCTTCCTAACTGTTTGAACATGGATATGTTGTATACTTTTAAGTAAATCATGAATCATATTATTCTGTAATTAACTTCTTATCAACAACTAACCTGTATTATTAAGTGATATTGAGTAAAATGGACAAAAATACAAATTGACAAGAAACAAAACTGAAAACAAAAATATTTATACCAGACTAATAGAACTCTTCTTCCTCTTTTTCAAGCCTTCACATGGAATCCTCAAGTCCAAAGGGGAAGAGAAAGACCAAAGAGCACATCACGCCGAGAAATGGAGACAGACATGAGAAAAATGAACAAAAATTGGATAGAACTAGAAAGGAAGGTCCAGGACAGAGTAGATAAGAGAAAGCCGACCTATGCGGTCTATGCTCCATTAGGGTTAACAGACGTAAGTAAGTAAGTAAGTAAGTAAGTAAGTAAGTAAGTAAGTAAGTAAGTAAGTAAGTAAGTAAGTAAGTAAGTAAGTAAGTAAGTAAGTAAGTAAGTAAGTAAGTAAGTAAGTAAGTAAGTAAGTAAGTAAGTAAGTAAGTAAGTAAGTAAGTAAGTAAGTAAGTAAGTAAGTAAGTAAGTAAGTAAGTAAGTAAGTAAGTAAGTAAGTAAGTAAGTAAGTAAGTAAGTAAGTAAGTAAGTAAGTAAGTAAGTAAGTAAGTAAGTAAGTAAGTAAGTAAGTAAGTAAGTAAGTAAGT